GTGGTGGTGGAAAACCGGCCCCTCAACAGCAGCCAGCGGTGCACGGCGCGCGGCGGGGGCGGCGGGCGCTGGGCGCCCATCCCCCTCCCCCTCCCCCTCCCCCTCTCCCCTCCCCCTCCTCCTCCTCCTCCTCCTCCTCCTCCTCCTCCTCCTCCTCCTCCTCCTCCTCCTCCTCCTCCTCTCCTCCTCCTCCTCCTCCCTCCTCCTCCGCCGCGCGCGCGCGCGGAGGGCGCCCGCCGCCTCGGCGCGGAACGCCGAGCGGGGCGGCGGGGGCGCGCGGGGCGCGGGGCGGCGGCGCTCGGCGCTCGGCCGGCGGCGCCGGCCGTAAGTCGGGCGTGTCCTCCTGCAGGGGGATTTGCGACGAACAAAAAAAAATTATACTCCAGATTTCGTAATAAAGGGAGGGGGGTCTCATTTCGGGGGGGGGGGGTCTCTTCCAGGCTATCTTGGAGGGCCTGGGGGGGTCTGGGGACGATGTTCTGGAGGGTTCTCCCACGGGGGGGGTCTGAAATGGCTTGTCTTGGAGGGTCCTGACCCCCTCCCTTTTATTACGAAATCTGGAGTACTCCAAAAAAAATGTCCAAAATGATCAAAACTACTATAAAATTATCCCGGCAAAGCAACCTAACAGCGATGTGTAGGAGCATATCTGGAAGCATTCCCCTTAAGATTCAGATGAGAATCCAGTTGTAGAATTCTGCTGTTCTCGCAGTCGTAGTCGCATTCGCGATGACAGTCGCAGTGGCAACGGCAGTCGCAGTCACAGCCTCAGCCTGCCTCAGCCTCAGCCTCAGCCTGCCTCAGCCTCAGCCTGCCTCAGCCTCAGCCTCAGCCTGCTTCAGCCTCAGCCTCAGTCTGCCTTCAGCCTCGGCGTCAGCCTCAGGCTGCCTCAGCCTCAGCCTGCATCAGCCTCAGCCTCAGCCTCAGCCTGCCTCAGCATCAGCCTGCCTCAGCCTCAGCCTCAGCCTGCCTCAGCCTCAGCCTCAGCCTGCTTCAGCCTCAGCCTCAGTCTGCCTTCAGCCTCGGCCTCAGCCTCAGCCTGCCTCAGCCTCAGCCTGCCTCAGCCTCAGCATCAGCCTGCCTCAGCATTCAAAATGTGGCCCGGGAATGGAGTTCTGGGAACTCGAAGAACACGAAGTGGCCTACAGTTGGCTCCGGGCATTCAAAATCATGCCCAGGAATGGAGTTCTGGGAACTCGAAGAGCACGAAGTGGCCTACAGTTGGCTCCGGGCATCCAAAATGTGGCCCGGGAATGGAGTTCTGGGAATCGAAGAGCACGAAGTGGCCTACAGTTGGCTCCGGGCATCCAAAATGTGGCCCGGGAATGGAGTTCTGGGAGGTCGAAGAGCACGAAGTGTGTGACTGTTGGCTCCGGTTATTCAAAATGTGGCCCGGGAATGGAGTTCTGGGAGGTCGAAGAGCACGAAGTGTGTGACTGTTGGCTTAAAACGAGCCCGGTTCTGTTCCCGGTTCTCCTCCCCGGCACCCGCCCAGACCCCCCTGAGGAGTCATGATGCTCTCTTTTGAGACCACTAGAAACCTATCAGCAAAAGCTGTTAGGTAAAAATAGTCCCAGACTATTTTTCTACTATGTTTGAACATTCCCCCTGTAGCTGTAGAGGGACAGGCCCGACTGCATGGTCCCCCCACAGGCGGAGCTTGGAGAAAAAATGCATAAACAACAGATGTCGAAAGATATCCCAAAAATGCTCCACAAATGCTCCAACAATCGTCCCTGGATTATTTGTGGACTATGTTTTGATAGTCTTCCTGTAGAGGGACAGACCCGACTTAACCCTACCCTACCCTCGCCGATCAACGACTCGGGCAACTCGAAAGGGCGACAGGGCTCGGAAATCGTCGAACGCGTGGCGGAATCCGAGCCCTGCCCCCCGCCTCCCATCGGGTCAAGAGGGTCGATGTCTTGCGGGGGTGGGCTTCGGATGTCGTTACCTGCTCATGGCACCGTCCTGGCCTCCCCCCCCTTTGGCAGCGCGCAAAATCAGCCCCGGAGCCTGGCAAGGGCCCCAATAGGGCCTCCCGTCGTGATTTTTTGTCACTAGCACAGCGGGGTGCCTCCTCCAGGGAATGACGATCCTAGATTTTGGTGTAGTACCACCATCGCCGAGATCGAGAGTATCTTCCGTCGGTGGGGGCAGACCGCCAACATTGGTGCCAACCCCTAGGCCTCTGGGACAACAATAACAACAGCAACAGCAACATCAGCAGCAACAGCAATAGCAACAACAGCAGAAGCAACAACAACAACAACAACAACCACCACACCAACAACTACAACACAACAACGACGACAACAACAACAGCAACAACAACAACAGCCAACAACAACAACAACAACAACAACAACAACAACAACATCAACAGCAACGGCAACGGCAACGGCAACGGTAACAGCAGCAAAACCAACAACAACAACAACAAGAAACATAACAATAACAAAAACAACCACAATTATAACAACTACAACGGCAACAACGACAGCAACATCAACAGCAACAACAGCAACAATACAAACAATGACAATAATAACAACCACAAGAACCACGACAACAAGCAACGCCAACAGCAGCATCAGCAACAGCAAGCAACGCCAACAACAACAACACCAACAACAACAACAACAACAACAACACCAACAACAACAACAACAACAACAACAACGCCAACAACAACACCAATCGTGTTAAGACTGTTCGCTCCTATCTGCTCACGCGCCAATCAATACGTATATCCCAGACCCTCGGTACCCGCCCTCGTCGTCTTCGATCGTACCCCCTTGGGAACATATCTTCCTTGCATGCCACGTGCATCTAACACAGCCCCTAAAACACGGGAAAAGAGGACGGGTGGAAGTGGGAGGGAGAATAATGGAGCACGAGAGAAATTAGCAGAAGGGGGGCAAGGAGCAGAAAACAAGTGGTAGAATCAGACGGGCAGATCGGGTGGGCAGAACCACAGCGGGCAGGTCGGGAAGGCGGGCCCAGGCGACAAGGTCGAGCAGGCGGGCTGCTGAAACGTGCGCCCTGCATGAATCGCGAACAAGTCTCGAGCGATAGCGCGATTCCCAAGTAAATCGTTTAAAAAAGCCAAAGCAAGAGCGTGATTCCTGAGCGCCGAGGGCGCATCGTCTGAAAAAATTGCGAAGGAATCCCACGCGAGAGCGCGATACGTACATGAATTGTGCGGAAGTCCCGCGGGAGAGTGCGATTTGATTATACATTGTGAGGAAGTATCAGGCGGGAACCGTTGAGGTTGTAAACCGGGGGCCAGGGACATAGTTTGAGCCCCGCGACTTCCCCTGGTAAACAACAAGGTGCGAGCCCCAGGGGAAGCACTTCAATTAAAAACACAGTGGACACCGGAAGGGGGGGGATCAACAGTACTTATTCTTCAGTAATGAGAGTTCAACGACAACATCAACAACACGAACGCCCACAGCAACAACAACAGCAGCAAAAACAACAACAACAACAACAACAACAACAACAACAACAAGCAACACCAACACCAACAACAACAACAACAACAACAACAACAACCGCAACAACAACAACACAAGCAACAGCAGCAACAACAACAACGACAACAGCAGCAACATCATCAACATCAACAACAACCATGATAATCATCGTAATAATGTTCGCTCTTATCTGCTCGCGGGCCAGTCAACACGTATATCCCAAACGCTCGATACCCGCCACCTTCGTCTTCGATCATGCCCCCTTGGGGGTATCCATCTTTCTTGCCTGCAACGTGTACTTCGTGCAGCCCCTAAGGCAGGGGAGAAGAGGACGGATGGAAGGAAGGGACAGGGAGGAGGGTGGGGGACAAGAGAGAGGAGCAGGGAGAGGGCTAGGACCAGAAAACATGCGTCAGAACCAGACGGGCAGATCGGGCTGGTAGACCCTAACGGGCGAGTCGGGAAGGCGGGCCCAGGCGGCCTGGTCGAGCAGGCGGGTTGCTGAAGCGTGCGTCCTGCTTGAATCGCGAGGAAGTCTCGAGAGATAGCGCGATTCCCAAGTAAATCGCGAAAACAGCTAAAGCGAGAACGAGATTCCTGAGATTCGAGAGCGCATCGTCTGAATAAATTGCAAGAAAGTCCCACGCGAAAGGGCGATTCCTGTATAAAGTGTGAAGACGTCTCGCGCGAGAGCGCGATTGGAGAATGAATTGTGAGAAAGTGTCAGGCAGGAGCCGTTGTTGTTGTTGTGAACCGTGGGCCAAGGGCCCAGTTTGGTGGCACACCGCCTTCCCTCGTGAAGGACCGGGAGCGAGCCCCGGGGGAAGCACTTCAATTAAAAAAACACAATGGAGGGGGGCATCAACATTACTTACTCTTCAGAAATGCGCGTGCGTGTCAAACAACATGTGTTTCGCAAACCCTGGAAACCCGCCCTCTTCGTCTTCGATCGTCCCCCCCTTTAGGGGGGATCTATTTCTTCCATGCCACGTGTAATTGGCGCAGCCTGACACGGGAGGGGGGCACTGAGGGAGGCAAAGGGGCCAAGAAGGGCAGCGAGACGACCACGAAGGTCAGCGAGGGGGCTGCGGAAGGCGACCACGGAGCCAGGAACGGCGTCGAGGGGCTCGAGTAGCGGGACCGCGAAAGGCACTGAGGCGGCCATGAAGGCAGCGGCGGGGCCTTCAAAATCCGACTGCGGCATCGCGAGGGGCAGCGAGGAGCACCCGAACGGGCGAACGGCAGCGAGGGGCGACTGCGGGCCATGCTGAATGGATCGGGCGGGCGGACCCTAACGGGCGAGTCGAGCGGCGGGTCGCGAATGCGTGGGTTCTGAATAATGAGCTCCGTCGCTTCGACGACGACGACGGCGGGGGCGACGACGACGACGACGACGACGACATCGACGACGACGGCGGCGGCGGCGGCGGCGGCGACGGCGGCCGCGACGGCGGCCGCGGTGGCATCGCGCGCGGTGTGCCCCACCGCCGCTCCGCAGCCGCGAGCGCCCACGGGCGC